TACTCTGATAAAATTTCGTAGCTAATCATTAGCTTTTGTTACAAGTTGAAACTTGCTATAGTGATAGTAACCTTTTAGACCTATGAAATTATTCGAAACAAAATCTTGTAGCTAATTGAGTATTTTTTGCTTTGGCTTAAAAGAAAAAAATGATTGCCATGACAAAAATGATGGATATTTTTGCTCGATTATGAAAATCATGATAAGAGTTGCCTAACACTACTAGATAATGAAATATTAATGTCAAATGTAACAATTGTATTTTTCATAAGATAAAAAAAGAGTAATGAAGGAAGAAAATATAAATTGTATATAAAATTACATAATTATTTAAAATGCAAATTAATCTTCATTCTCAAGCAAAGGCTCATTTGTTTACCTGTCTATAACAGCAAAACTTATCTCTTGACATTTTAGACTTATCAAACTTATCTTTTCTTGTATTGCAGTTGCTGTTAATTATATAATTTTGTATGTAAAATTTAAATTATTATTAATAGTTGTAGATATTCATGTATGTCATATACTCTATTACTTTTAAATAACTTATTTTTTCACAGAAGTATTCATATTAAAGACTTTAATTGTTGTAGTGATATACATGTATATGGTCCTTAATAATTTTTATATCACTTTTTATATATATATATATATATATATATATATATATATATATATNATATATATTAGACGATGACAGTTTTTACTATCTTAATAATTATCATAAATCAAATTATACACCAAATCTAAAAATATTTTTTTTGTATTCTTCTTATACATGAATAGTTACATATTTTCACTATTATTATGCTTATTTTGAGTATTATTTGTATTAAATAGTAGTTACATATTTCCACTAGGGGTGTTAATGGATATTTGATAACCGACCGAACCGTACTGCAGTGAACCGATTTTTAGGTTTCTTTTGAAGAAACCGTAGGTTTTTATATAAATCTATAATCGTGCCGATAATTAGGGTAGGTTTTTTATTTTATAAAATAAATCGAAAAAATATCAAACCGTACCGAATAAATTTTACATATGAAAAATATATTTATATAGTAAGTTTAAAACTAATAAAGCATTAATTTTTTTATTGGGCCTTGGAATTATGAAAACTCTTACAAGCCAATAAGTAATTAAACTCAAAATACTAATTCCTAAAATCTATTATGCTACTTATACTTAAACTAAGCTATATCAAGTATCTTTATTAGCAAGACACAAAGTATTTTAGCGATTATGAGTAGCAAACTACAATGTATTGAATATGTTTCCTTTCATATAATTTAGATTTATTTTTTTGAATATTTAATATAGACTTTATTCTTGAGTCCCAACTTGGTTTATATCTTTCCACTCGTGTGATTTATATTTTCTTTGCTTTTACTTGGTTTATTTTACGTTGCTATCGAATAGTTGTGTATCTATACTCTAGCCATCTTTCATGTTTTTTAATTTATTATCCTTTAAACAGTAAAATGTCTAGAGAGTCTTGCTAAGTCCTATAAAAGAATGTATGTTGTTGCATTCTATTTTTACTGGTGAATTTTACATGACATTAAAAAAAATACCAAAAATTAACCGAACCGTACCGAAGTGAAACCGACATGATTGGGACAATTTCGAAAAGTCTAATTTTGGTAATACATAATAGAATAACCGAAAAATTGGTATTGTACAAATTTTATAAAATAACCGGCCGAACCGAACCATTGACACACCTAATTTCCACTATTGATGTTCATTTTTGTAAAAAAAGATAAGAACATCTACTACATTAATTACTAGCTATAGTCAATTTAGATAAGTATAAAAGTTATTGATTTAATAATCTAATATTATTTTAATAACTTAATAATTATCATACATCTAACTTAACACTAAAAATTGAGAAGCTAATATTATTGAAATATAAACATATAACAAAACTAACAATATCATATAAGATGAGAAAAGCTATAATTTCTTTATTTCATGCAAATTGTTGATTTTTTTTATTTTAACTAAATATAATATATTTATTCTTTAGGTTTATTATAGGTAATTTTCTAACTTAATTTGCATTTATGGTATTTGTATTTTCTCCCCTTATATGCATGTTTTTTGAATTAAGAAGTAAAATAGAGCATCTATATAAGAGAAGGAACGTACAAACTTAAAACCCTCCAAACCAAAACCTATGTCCTCACCCTCAGCCACCACTTTTCCTATTTTCTTATTTCTTTCTTCCACCTTAATAGTCAAGCCTTAAATCACTGCAAGAAAGACAAAGAGGAATAACAGGGTACATACATTGCTTCTTTATTTATGAACAAAAATTTTAACTTGTTGGTTGTCTCTTTCCAGGTAAGCTCATGTCTTTATATTATAGGGTTTCTGAATCTCTTTATACCTACTTTGGTTTGAATTTTTAAGTTTAATTTTTTGAGTTATTTCAGCAATTTGATAGATATTATGCTTTATTTTTATAAGTAATGAGTGCGTTTTTTGAAGATTTGATAAGTTTTGTGCTTTACACCTAATTGACTTGGGTTTCTGCTTCAATTGTTTGTTTTTTATTTATAGGGTGCTCAAGAGAAAGTGCCTTTGAGAAATTTCAGTCTCTTCTAATGCCAAACTGTAAGTTTTACTTCTTTTTCGATCTCCTTAAGTTTTAAGATGTTTTTTTAAATGCTTTCTCCTGTCCTTTGTGTTGGAAATTTTTTTCTTCTCATTCCATGATTCATTGATTTTTTTTTAATTACAAACTGTAAATGCGTCTTTATATGTTTTAATATTTCAAATATAAGTTTCTCACAAGATCATGTCATTTCATTATTTTCAGTTTAGTGATTACGAAGAGTGCTTCATATATTTTTGGATGCATGAAGATCGAGGATGCGGTGGCAATATGAATCATCAAGGAATTACTTATGTTTATTTAATGTGAAATTCTGTACATTATTTCTGATCTCTGTTATAATTAAGCCTCGCATTGGCTAGTTGTTTTCTTCAATTAGTTATTGTAGAAGATTTATGTACTGCAGATACTATTAAGTGATTAGTACATGTATTTTGGAATTTATTTTGTGAAATTTTTTAAATGTCAACTTTTTGCAGAGTTAGTTATTACTCAAGCTTAATAAGTCATTAAATTTAATATAATATGCACGACCACAGAATAATTGAAATTTTTTAGAAAAAAATCAAATAGCTAAGAAATAAGGGATTTGTGAGAGAAACTTTTGTCACTATGATAAATCAATTTTTTTTTGTAAAAAATAATCTAACCACGACTTTTTTGTATGATTTTTAGCCATGGAACTTTTTGTCCGTACCTAAACAAAAATATTTTTGCCACGGACTAATATATAAGCAGTTACATATCCAAATTTTCGTGGCAAATAAATTTGAATATTTTGCCACGCTATAACACTTTGTAGCTACCATATAAAGATAGCTACCGATTTATTTGTCGTGGCAATAGTATAAAATCATTTGCTATAAATATATTTATCGTGGCAAGAGTATAAACTTATTTGCTATAAATACAACTACAACACAAATTTTATAGCAATAAGTATTAATCCTTAGCCACGGACCATGTAAAGTTTGTAGCTAACTTTTAGCTACGCTACATTTTGCTACGAATGCTATGAAAGAATATATTATAGCTAAAGTGTTTAGCCACGGAATTTTTCATAATTAGCTACGTTGTATTTTGTAGCTATAAATGCTTTATGTTGTAGTGGGAAGAGAAAAGAAGAAAACTAGTTAGAAGCCTCCTTCAAGCGTGGTTTGTGTTCCCCCACGTCTAAGATCTGTCAAAAGCCAAAATAGCAATTTTATATGTATTTATACCAAGTAGGGTTAGGCCCAGACGAAACACCCTTTCCTGCGCGAAATAGGACTCTGGCTGTGTAAAATTTGCACAGACGTGCCGCATCGGGCGATGCGCCATGCGGTGTGCTTGTGGGGAAATTCAGAGAGCTGATTCTGACAGACTGCAGGAAAATTCCAAAGGCGCGGCGCACGCTGCGCCGCTCGATGTGCCGCGACAGGGAATTCGCAAAAATGCAAAACATGAAAGTTGTATCCCTTTCAACTAGCTTTCCAACGATAAATTGTGGAACCCAAACGGAGTTCTGAGCAAAAAGTTATGTGCATTTTACTAGACAATGTGCCGTATGCCTACTCGATTCTCCGTTTCGTCTTTAACTATCATCCGTTGATCTCCGATCACGATCCCGGCTTGATTCCTTGGTCTTTTAGTCAGACTTCAAAACTCCAAATCACTTGAATTCATTCCATAATATCTACATAGCTCGGAATCACTCCTAGAGGCATAAAGTACACAATTAGTGCAAAACACTAGCGATTAAAGTTCAAACTCAATTAAAGTGCAGTAAATTAGAGTGTAATAAGCGACTAAAATATGCAATTATAGCCTATCATCAAAAACTAAAGCAGTAATTTTTGTGCAATGAACACCCAGAAATTTGCCCAGAGCAAAGTTGATATAAATCAACACTAGTATCTTACAATCCATTTATCCAAATACACCTAGATATTAGACTAGAAAATGCTTATTATACCTAATAATCTCATCAACAACAATAGTAATGGAAATGAAATTGGTTCTGAAGAATAACTTGATCTTAGCTTAAAAGCCAGGGAAACGTATCCAACTTTAGAATAATATTATAGAAAGTAGACTATATATCGAATCTCATACAAAAAATTAAAAAAAAAAAAAAATATTCATGTCGACAAAGGGGAAAAGGAAAAAGTCAACGGTTTTCTTTGTTTTGTTTAATGTTTGAGTGACATGAATTTTCTTCTTGTACTTTTCAAGCAAATGTGTGTAATCGTCAAAAGAATATTTATCTCCAGAATATTTATCTCCATATATCCCACTTCCCACCTATCTTCTTCAGTCCCCTTCTCATAGATTCTCTCTCTTCTTACGTATTGTAATAAGTACACTAATTAAAAGGGGGTTGGGGGTATTAAATCCACATCTTTCTCTATACATATGGAGAGTACGTAACATATGATTCTCTTCATTCTTTCTTTTACTACTATTCTCTTTCTTCTATACTGCTTTTTTCACATGGTGGTGGCTCATCAGCCTTGTCCGCCGTCTAGCCGCCAAGAAAAAGAAAAATTACGTGACATTGAGCTTCCTATAATAGACCTTTTGGGCGAGAGATCAGAAGTGTCAAAGCTCATTGTCAAAGCCTCTGAAAACTTTGGTTTCTTCAAAGTCATCAACCATGGTGTCCCTGAACATGTCATTAAAGTAATGGAAGATGAAAGCTACCGATTTTTCTCTAAACCGGCTTCCGAAAAACAACGTGCTGGACCGGCCAATCCATATGGGTATGGCTGCAAGAACATAGGGTTCAATGGAGATTATGGAGAAGTTGAATATTTGCTTTTTCATACCAACCCTTTGTCTATCTCTCAAACATCCAAAACTATTTCCAATGACCCAACCCTATTTAGGTATCTTCTAAACTTCTCATGTAGTAATTTTTTTTTGGGTGAAATTTTGATTTCTTGTCACTTTTTTTTCTAGATTATCATTAACTGGTTCGGAGGATATATCATGCAAGTTAACTAGCATAAAAATATTTACAAGTTTAATTACATGGTCAACATGAGCTCATGTAAACATTTTTGTTATATATATATATATATATAATTAAAAGTGGTCCAGGATAGGATATGGGAGACTTAGAGGAGTACCTCTACTACTGTTACTCTGTTCGTCTATATACATAACATCTGTAAAGCTACTAGGATTACAGTTTCTGACACTATAAGGACATTGGATCATTTGTTTCACCTTAGGTGACCTATTTATCGTATTGAACAATATAGGAATCACTACACATCTCATCCAGTGAGAGTACTAGCTAGAGAGGCTCTCTCTATAAATTGAAGAGGCCGTGGTAGTAGAGTTGCAGGATCTAGTTTAGTGATGTGAGATTAAATTAAGGGGGAAGGAAGAAAGGACAGATACTGGAATTTAGATAGTACACAAGTCAATTTCTTGGTTATAGGGAATGGACCTAGTATCTGTAGCATAGGGCATGTTGCGCCAGCTGTAGGATTGTTGAATCTGTCTCCGCCATGTTTGATCTTTTTTGAGGATTCAAAAAGAGCTAGACATCAACTACCCTCATATATCAACTCATCATGCAAAATTGCAAATCTCTTCTTTCTCTAGCTTTGCTTTCTTCATCATGCCCAATTTTCTCGCTTTAAATGTCATTTGTACTTTCTAATTTTTGACTTTCTTTCTTGTTTTCCATTTTCCATAAAGAGTAGTAACATTGTATTCTCGCTTTTACTTGGCATATATACTAAAAATAGATTTTTATTTTTACTTGTCAATTTACGTATATCAAGAGAGACAAAAAAAATTTCCTGTTATTTATTATTCATATCAAATCATTTTTTGAAATACAATGAAATATGCATCAATTAATATGATTATCATGGTAAATTATACACTTCATTTATTATTTTTTGTGGAGCGTGAAAAGGCAAAATGTGTCAAGTAGGGAGTAACTTATTGTCCAAGTGTCAATGCTGTTTTAACTCAAACATGAATATATATAATTATTTTAAATTATTCAAGCAGATGATTTCCGTAAAACCCGTCTATTTTAGAACGACAGAAATCTGTTGACTCTTGTATGATTGGTTAAATAATTAGCTACGTAAAAGCAAGTCCTCGATGGGCTAAAGACCTTTAGACTTTTGGAGTACTTAACACCTAAGTGATGCATAATTGGTGCAATTTATAATTAAACAAGTTGCTAATTCTAGTGTAGTGGTTTTGAATTGAAGCAACACGTGCTTTTCTTGGACCATTGTCACGTGGATTCCTAATTTCTCCATTGAGTGTGGGCTTATGTTACGAAATGATGCAACAAAAATATATCGAGAAGTTTTTTTTCTTTATATTTACAGTTGTCATCATGTACTATATATCTCTATCCTAGATCAAAGGACAGAAGTTTTCTTGAATTTGTTTGACAATATTCTAAGAATTTAAAGAGTGAAAACCACATCCCACTAGATATCTTGAGAGGACAACTAGAATTTTGAGCAGGATTGCATGATTCAAGAATCGACAATAGCGCCTTTGGAAGATACTTAAGCAAATGGTGAGAAAATGTGTGTAGATTTGTTTTTAAATTAAACAGAGGGAAAAATATAGATTTATCCGTCAACGGACTGAAATTCCAAATTGGGGACTAAGTACTACTCCCTACTTTTCATTTTAGATGATATAATTTGATTTGACACAAAATTTCAAAGAAAAAAAAGTTTTTTGAAACATGTGGTCCTAAACGTTTAAGGGGCAAAAGCTTTGTGCGACCGTGATATTTTTGTAGCTATAAAAGCTTATCATTAAGAGTAACGTGAGTAAAATAAAAAATTTAAAGTTAAATTATTTTTAAATATAAAAATGTATTATTTTTTTGGGAACACACGAAAAAAAAGATATAACTTGGTATTATCATTTGGTAATATGATAGTGAGAACAATAGATTAATGAAATTACTATGTGCCATAAAGGAGTTCCAAGCGTATTGGATGGCATATGCGATGTCCCATGTGCTGATGCGCATTGAATATTTACGGTTTTATGTCATAGACTAAGAAGAGGGTACGGAACTAGACGCAAATTGAAAATTAAATTGATACGATACTTCATAACACTGTAAGACTCGTACTCTCTGAGAAACAACACATAATGATTCAGAATCAGATTGACCTGTCAGATATCCTCATCCATCTAGCTATAAGGTCCAATCAAATCGTATTTGAAAAATAAAGAACTTATCGATTTTCAAACATAGAAGTAGAAATCTCCCAGAAATTGGTGACAGCCTAACCACAACCCTTTTTTTACTAAATCAAGAAAAGTTCATTAAGCTAAAGGAATTGTGTGCCGATGTATAAATAATGGTGATGAAGTGAAGAGTAAGAATGAGCATTGATTGATGTGGTTACGTTGTTGACAGGTGTGCAGTGAATGGTTACGTAGAAGCAGTTAGGGAGTTGGCATGTGAGATATTGGAGCTGATGGCAGAAGGATTAAGGGTCCCAGACACCTCAGTGTTGAGCAACTTCCTTAAGGACTATGATTCTGACTCTCTCCTCAGGCTCAATCACTATCCCCCTTTGCCCCCACTCCAACTCCTCCAGCTTCTCAACACGTCTCCTAACCAACCACCATCCAGAATTGGTTTTGGAGAGCATACTGACCCTCAGATCTTGACCATCTTGAGATCCAACGACGTTGCTGGCCTTCAAATCTCACCTCAAGAAGGTTTGTGGGTCCCTGTCTCCCCTCACCCTTCTACTGCCTTCTGCGTCAATGTGGGTGACGCCTTACAGGTGCGCCTTGCCCTCCTTTTTTTACTCTACTTGTCCTGTTTACATTGTTTCATCTTGTTCGCGACTGTAACAAATTAAAATTCGGAATGTGAACTTAGTAAATATAATTTTTTGCTGAATTAAATTCATGGTACCTACATTACATCTACCTTCTGAACAAAGTATATGCATTTTAGTATATCATGTTGTCTCATTTAAATTGAGAGTATGTTTAGTGTCATTCGTGACATAATAGTGATACAGGATCAACGATTGAACATGTCAAGAATTACAGTGGTCCCAGACTTACTCTAGTCACTATCTCTTTCTTTTTCGAATTTCTGATTTCGTAATAGCTACAAGTGCTTGTCATACATGGTAATTAGTGGTGGCAAAATAATTATCTACTTATATTATCTGTTAAAAAATAGGTTGGATAATTAATAAACTTTTTAAAAATAGGTCTAAGAACCATATTATCTACTTAGAAAATGAATAATCAATAGATAACTAATGAGTTTTAACTTATATATTTATAAAGGTTCAAATTTGGGATTACTCTATTTTGTGAGACTAGAAATTTTTCTAAAAATAATCATATTCAAGAAGCCATGGATAATATGGTTATCCATAATATCCTCGATTAACCCGTTTTTTATCTAATATTAAATATGAGTCGAGTCGAATAATTTATCCGTTTTTACATTATTCGTTTATCACCCTAATGGTAATCATAGCCCCATCCTCATTTAACACAAATAAAAAGTTAGAAATGGACATAACAGATGGTGAATGATAGCTTGAATTGACATGCATGATAGCTACAAGTGCTCTGGGGGGAAATAAAACTGAAAAGTGCAGTGATTAATGCTCAACAGAGTTTCGGGTTTAGCAAACTACAGGTTCCTTCAGTTCTGGCCATGCTTACAATTGATGTGATAAAACTGAACCCTCTCTGCAAGCATATTTTTGGAGGGCCCTACTTTTATTACTTCTAAAAGTTTTAAACTTTTCCTTGGATATTCGTGAATGCTCTAAAGTGCCAACTAGCTCTTTGATAGGTGTGGACAACTCTTGATAGTTCAGCGGTTGCCTGTTCTATCCACATTAGTATTGCTCGCGTGCCAAAAAGAATATCGATTAAGCTAGCGTTTGGCCATAGATCCCAAATTTATTTTAAAAAATTTGATTTGGGTAAAGTTTGGTTTGAAGATGAAAATGTGTTTGGACATACGTTTTCAAAACATATTTTCCAACTTTATTTTGAAAAAACATGTATATAATTCCCCAGTTTTGGGATTTTGGCCCAAATTCAGCTCAATAGCTGATTTTGGAATTTGAAATTTTTGATTTGGGATTTGGCCAAAATATGAGCAAAATTTATGGCCAAACATGAGTTTTGAAATAAATCTCAAATTTATTTTGACAAAACTTATGGCCAAACGGGGCCTTAAGTAATGAACTTTTAAAAAACGAGTAGAATATGGATAACAATCTTATTATCTATTTAGAAAATGGATAACTAATGAGTAACCAATGAACAACCAATAAGTCTAGCTTTTACATTTGTAAAGTATCAAATTGGGTGTTCCTCAAGTTAGGGAGACTGAAAATTCTCTCAAAAGTGATCATATATAAGAAGTCATGATTTATATGGTTATCCATATTATCCGCCGGTTAATCTGTTTTTTATCCGTATTAAATATGGGTCGGGTCGGATAATTTGTCCGTTTTTTATTACCCATTTTCGACCTGAACCATATCCGACCCGACCCGCCTGTTTGCCAGTCCTAATTAAAACTTTAGCTGTTAATTTGAATATTGATTACAATTATTTTCTTAAAAGTTTATATAATTGAAAACTACGGCTAAAAATACGACATTACAAACATCTATACTTTATAAACTTAGATGTTTGAAAATTCGTAGTCCAAAGTAAAACTTATAGTTCAACTCCACCCAGCATTATTACTATCATACAAAGATTGATGAGTATCTAGCTGTACCAAGGAACGAAAAGACTAACCCTTTAGGAATTGTACACTTGGTATTTAACTTGCAGGCACTGACGAATGGAAGGTTTTTGAGTGTGAGGCATAGGGCCATGGTGAATTCTTGCAGAACGAGGATGTCAATGGCCTACTTTGGAGCTCCAGCCCCCAATGCCAGGATAGCTTGTCCCCCTGAGCTGCTCTCACCACAAATACCTTATCTCTACAGGCCTTTCACTTGGGATGAGTATAAGAAAGCTACTTATTCCAGGAAGCTTGGAGACACTCGCCTACACTTCTTTAGGGTGCAATCAGATCTTAGTGAATGAAGGAATAAAAAGAAAATGAGGCTTCAATGGTTGTGTACATCCCCAAAGGGGAGTTTTGTTTCCGCCCTTTCCCCCCTCTGTTTTTGGCTAACAGATTTTTAACTATTTACTAGGAGTACTAGCTTTAATATTCAGTTTCGGAAAAAAACGGATTTGGTTTTCTTGTACTTTGATGAAAAGGTAAATGGAACTTTATTTCGGAAGCTCGATTAGCATTTCGGTTTCCACTTTCAACAAACTCGTCAAAAAACTCATTTCAATAAAACCATAGTGAATATTGGTGAAGGAAGCCTTGGAGTAATGGTAAAGTTTTCTCTATGATATCTATAGGTCACGAATTCGAAATGTGGAATTAGTATAGTTGTATCAGGATAGGTTGCCTATATCACAACCCTTGCGGTGCGGCCCTTCCGAGAACCTGCGTGAGCACGGGATGTCTCATGCAACGGGTTGTCCTGCCCTTTTGCCCATTTGTGAATAATGCTGCAAGGAACTACGAAGTTATGATTCTCTGGTTCCATGTGTTTACCCTAAAAACGGATTACAATTGAATTTGTATTATGGTTTTAAGGACACGTGACCTTACTTAGCACAAATTGAGCAAAACGTAAATTGATATTGAAATTGACAGTAAATAGGAATTAAAGCAAACCAAATGGATCAAGTAGCCTTGGTCCTCGAATTTGATCACCCTGAACCAAGTGAAGATTCAATTGATATAAGAACAAAGTAACAGAATGTTAAATGCTTAAGAGAAAAGTAGTATATTGCTTTATATGACGTGAATATGATGTCTTTACAAATGATCAGACCCCCTTTATATAGTAGGGGAGTCCTATTTATGGTACAATTCTAAATACAGTAAGAAATCCCTATCGGCCTCTTCTTGATACGTGCTGGGATTTACGCCGTGATCCTCGCCCGATTGCGGATATTTCGTCTTTCTGCTATTCGACCTAGTAAGCTCCCCTCGATCTCCATCTTATTGGGTCCCGATCTTGGTCGATCTCAATCTTGGTCGGTCTAGGCTTTGGTCGGTCTCGATCTTAATCGGTCTCAGGGTCTCGATCTTGACAACCTAACTCTGTACCATAGTTTGATATAAATCAAAGCCGATCCTTGACTAATCATGCTCCAGCCTCGATCAGTCACACAAAAAGGTCAAGCCCGATTTGACCCTATGCAGATAGTCTCCTCGTTTTTTGGAGAGTAATGACAAGAAACGATTTGAGCCCTTGATCTTGCCCTCGATACACTGTGACGTAAACATCATGACGTAAGCAACTGAGGTAACCAAAACGTCTCGTCGGTACAGTTTCCCAGGCATTTAATGCGGGCCAGTCGACGGTCGGCACTACCGGATTGGAACCAACATCTCAAACCTATAAATGTATCTTTCTTCTTTTGCCCAAACTCTACTTTGAAATCTTCTTTGCCCTAATCTTCAAAATTCCTTTGCCTTCCTCAAAACTTTGTGTTTTCAGATCTATGGTGTTTTTTCACCTGTTTCGTCACAAAATACCAAGTATTTCTTCTCAGTTTCCATTCTTCTTTATTCGTAAAAGTAAAATGGCTAAGACTTCAAAAACTGTTTCGCAAAAAGAATCAACTTCTTCATCAAGGCTCGCCGACGATGGAGCCGTGGAAGAACCTCCCCTAGAGGACTTCATTCCGACAAAGTGCATAACGGCTGCCGATTTTAAGGTAGAGAATACACCCTCGGTACTGGGTCGATGCGAACCGATATCGAGGTACATATGCATAATTACCGACGATCTCCTCGACCAAGTTAAAGAGGACTGCATTGACAAGCATGTGGTGGTGGCCTCGCTTGAGGAATCAATCACTACCCATGTGGAAGGGTTTCTAAGTGTTTACACTTATCCTTTCACATTGGGTCCTTTAGACCCTATCGTCGTTTCCTTCTGCAAGAGGTACGATGTGACCCTTGGTCAGATTCATCCATCATTCATGAGGATCGTGATCCTCCTCCTAGTTTTTGTAAGCAAGATCGAGGGGCATCCTTTTACCCTCGATCACCTTATGCGACTCTACAGTCCCCGGCTTTATCGAAGAGGATTGATCAAGCTTTACCGTCGAGCCACCAAACCCACGAGACTGAGGTTGGATGGGCCGATTTGTCTGAATAAAGACTTCGGACCTAATTTGTGCCGAAGACATGCCGTTTCCTGAAAAATGGAACACGAATTGTAAGTATTGCTTCGCCTTGAATATTTAACTTTGCCGTTTTACTTCTCATCTTCTTTCCTCATCTATGCTTTTTTGTGTTGCAGCTGTGGCCCATGTGCCAGAAGTAATCCCCGATCTCAGGCAATGGCTTGAGGGCTTAGTGTCGCAGAAGTTATACTACGAACGTGCTTGGACGGAGTTATCAAAGGGTCAATGGGAGGCCCGTAACCACGGTAATTTTCTTTCGTAAAACACTCATCGTTCGGGTCTTGTATCGATCTTACTCGACTTTTTTCATTTGTAGGCCTCGGGAATGATGTAGCAATGAGGCCCCTGTCCGCTGAAGAAGAGGTACTTCTTTCTCCATCTGCCCCAAAGCAGGCCAAAGAGAAGAAAAGAAAAGGGGCTTCAAGCCCTCCGAGACCGGAAAAAAAAGACCGGCGAGGAGGCCTTGTAAGCCTAAGGGGGACACCGGTGCTATACATCCGGACTCAATCCGACAACTAAGAGATGAGTCTGAAGAGGAAGATCGATCCAATTTGATAGCCCGTGTGCGGGCTGGCATCTCGATACAAAAGTCGCTCGAACCGGAGGGGGGTTGACAAGGGAGCTTCGACCGAAATTTTGGAGCCAGAAAAGGTCGAGGTCGCTCTGTCCCAAATTAAAACGATCGAGGGGGGAAACGGAGGCAAGGACTCTCGAATAGCTGAAGATGTCCTGAGGGACGATCTCAGAGTGATTGATATCTCCGAGTCCCCTCAAGTTTCGGACTCCACGATCCGCGAAGCTGCTAACTTGGTAGGTCCCCCTTGCGAGGGTCTTCAGGGGTTAGTTGACATCCACACCTTCCTGGATGGGGTGGAGTTTGAAGCTTTGGGTGATAACACCGATTTTTATGACTTATTGGTGCCGAAGAAAACACCATCCTCGGATGTCGCTGGGTCTTCATTGAGCCCGACACTAGTGGACCGGTTCCCGACCCCAGTGCTAAGCCCGATCGTAGGCATACCATAATGCTTACTGTCCGGAGGATACCTGAATCTTCTCTCCCCCTATGGAGATTGCTAGCTACTTGAGATGTTTGGTGACCAAAGAGGACCAAGCCGCGATGGATGCAGTGGGAGCCGCTTGTTTGTTCAACGAGGTTCAGCATGCTCTGAATCGGGTATGACAGAATATAAGAGTCCAGCAAACTCTATAGAGAACCAGGTTCTCTATCAGGTTCAACAGTACACACACACAGTAGTAAATAAATGACAAGAGGAATTTTACGTGAAAAATTCTAAAATTCCCAGCTCAACGGGATTAAAAACCACGACTTACCCTTGTAGGATTTCAACTTCACTACTGAGCAACTTTTAGATTACAACCTATGCAACCTAGGAATTAAGCTCTTAATCCCTTACTAACTTGTAATATCTATTACAAGCCACTTTATAATAACTCTATTACAAAGACTTTACAACATGACTAACTCTAGCCAAGACTCAAACACACACGTTTAAGGTTTAAAAGAGTTTCCTATAAAATGCTTCTAAACAAGCTAGGTAGGAATTACAATTGAAGAACTATTACAAAGTTACAACTCAACTAAGGACATATAATGACTCGATGTGGGAACTGGTCCGTATTTGCTTTGTTCTTTGTTCTTGAAGCACTTGAAACTTGCTTGCTGAATGGTCACGTGAGTGAGCTTGACTAAAATCTCTAAGTGTTCACGTGAATGTGTTTTACCTCCCTTGGTGTTAATAATACATGTATGACCTCACATACAATGATGTAAGCAAGGTAGGTAAAAAGCCTTTCACAGAAAGTTGACTGCTGCACTATTCCTGTACAGTAGCGTGTGCAGGCAACAACTTTCCAGCTGGAGAGTTGACTTCGTTCAGTCTCCTCGGGAACTGGTAGGGACCTGTTCCCTCAGCTGTTCCTTCCACTCTGAGGAGTTGAATCATATCCCAAGTTGGATCCCAACCTGGAACCTTGTGATCGTAATGTCTTGTATATGTGTAACAGGTTCTTTATCTGGTTCTGGATAGTAAGTTTGTTAGATCATCAAAATATAAAGTAAAGTACTTATGACCAAAGTACTTGTAACCTATTAATTTTCCCCTTTTTGATGATGACAAACTCATAATTGAAAATTCCAGAAAGAGCCACATAGAACCAGACTGCGAACTAGAAAGACCTTAAGTTTCCCCCTGAATTTCTGCATTCCCCCCTTAATCAGTACCCGAACCTCTGTGAGTTCCCTCTGAATCTACATTCCCCCATATTAATGCTCTTTATTATTCAATTAAACAATTTCCCCCTTTTGGCATCATAAAAAGCACAGAACAAGTAAGTAGCATAAAGAAGTCTAGCGTGGTTAACTCATGCCATTTGTGTGCACACAACATGATAGAAAACAGAGACAAAAAAGCAGCAGCATAAACAACAAAAAGGAAACCACTTACATTAAACAAATTTGGACTTTTACAAGTGGGAGTAGAATCATTGTTATTATCCATAGTTTAAAACAAACAAAAACAATTACCGGAATAAGGACAAACATCACCAAAAACAACTAAGAAGATAGACACTGGAAACTGGACACTGAGGGGACATTCTTTAGGGGACACTGGAGGAAGGGGGCTTGGAAGAGGAAGCAAGGGTTTGGAGAACAAGATCCATGCGAGCATTCGCGGACATTTGCTCATTGAGCAGTCTTTCTTTCAGGTCCTCCACCTGTTTCCTGAGTTCAGCATTCTCCTTTGTTAGGCGTGCAACTTCTGAGCTATGAGAACTACTAGAACCAGGTGCCTCTTGTAACTGACTGAGCTGACTCTCAAGAATTGAGTTCCTAGCCTTCAACTTCCGGATCTCCTCTGTGGCACTGTTCTGAGCATTTATCAGTTGAGAGATAGTGGAAGTGCTTCCAACTCCTCCGACCTTGTCAATACACTCACACTCCTCAAGAGTAGTTTTTGAAAAGGATTGCTTTTTAGTGCCCACTTTGGCCTGTCCCAGAGGT